AGCCTGGACACAGCATATTATTTGAGAACACAGAAATGCTGGACCACACCAACAACCACCATGTCAGACTACACAGAGAAGCCATTGAAATACACAAGCATGTGGACAATTTCAACAGAAAGGAAGAGACCATGAAAATGAACAAAATCTGGCTACCAGTATTAAAAAACTCTAAAATTACAACAGCAAAACAACAGAGAGGAAACAACCAGGCACAGATTAACACCTCCCAGCAAGAGATTTTCCCAGGCTCAGGCAGGCCTTCAATTCTAATAAAGGTGATCAGCTGAAACATTCACACCTAACTGCAGCAGGGAAGAGCTCCTTGCCCCACTCCAGCCATTCCACAGATATATAAACCCATTGTCCTAATTCCAACAGACCTCACTACCTCTGAGGATGCTTGCCATAGATGCAGGCGAAACGTCAGGAGAAATGCCTCTAGAACATGGCTCTATAGCCCGAAAAAACCCACAAGAACCTTTATGTTTATTATTATGTTTATTTATACCCACTTTTTCTCTCCACAAAGGAGTCTTAAAGCAGCATATATCAAAATCATTTTAATACAATTTAAAATCTATAAATATACAAGCATTAAAACAGAATGATGTGGCCAAAGATGAAGTACTTTGGCCACATCATGAGAAGAAAGGAAAGCTTGGAGAAGACAATTATGCTGGGGAAAATGGAAGGAAAAAGGAAGAGGGGGTGACAAAGGGCAAGATGGATGGATGGGATCCTTGAAGTGACTGGATTGACCTTGAAGGAGCTGGGGGTGGTGATGGCCGACAGGGAGCTCTGGCGTGGGCTGGTCCATGAAGTCACGAAGAGTAGGAAGCGACTGAACAAACGAACAACAACAAAACAGAATTAAATACCAATGGTGTTAAAATGCAGCTAAAATCAATAAAAACTGATTAAAAACATATTCAAAACTAAAACTACAGCACCTTTTGCCTTGATCTTAAAAACCTTTTTCTTTAAAAGCCTGCCTGAATAAAAAAGTTTTGGCCTGTTGACAGAAGGACAACGGGAAGGAGGGCAAGAGCTCAGGTGGAAGTCTGCAGGGAAAAGGTGGTGGTGGCAGTGTCCATCTGGACAGTAAAATGGGTTAAATCAAACCCAATTCCACTGTCTAGAGGACCTTGAAGCCCCATTATATTTCAGAGTGTTCAGAAAATTCTGGAGTATCCTGTGACTTTGTTAAAAGTGCAAGTGAAGACTGACAGTAGTCCATTTGTGGTAAGTACTTGTTTTTGACAAGTGTAGACAAATCCATGAAAACAATGCTATATTAGATCAAAATTTATTTGTCTGGAATATTCAAAGAAGGGAGGGAGGTGGCTGCATCTACTAAACAGGTAGTTATTTTAAGTTGAGAACTAGAGTTTGAGAAGTGTCTTTTACAGAAGTAACTAGCAATATTTACAGTTACAACCCTACTATTAGGACCACAGGCTTCACTTTAATCTTGAATCATTTGCTATCTTGAATCATTTGCTATCTCTCCTCTCCTATTTAATGAAGACATACTTTTCCGATGGTAAAGGTAATAAAGACAACTTAAATGCTCGATACACACAAAGAGGATGAGGATATCTCCTTTTTAAAATATTGCATAGTTAAATGTAATTATACGTGTAATACAGTTATATCTCTGGTGCCAGGAAAGAAAATAACTAGTAGTAAAACACTACATCTAGCTTCTTACTCCTGGTTCTGTTTGGAATTAGTTTTTACATTCTGGGTCTATTGCTAACAGATGGAGCATAGCTATCCCCAATTATACACACAACTCTTCATTTTGTAGTTTGCATGTTGTCAATCCAGATCTACAGCCAGCTCCTGAATTCCAGGGGGAACATAGGACTGATCTCTTTCCATTGCTCTGATTCACAGATCAGAGCTTCTCAGTAACCAGCTCTGCTGCTCTGGGACTCAGGAGTAAAGCTCCCTACTAACTGCTCAGCTGAAGTTTTAATTTGCTCATCATCTTTGGCTGATGTGATTAGCAGCCGAAGTTAATTACCTGCAGAAATACTCTCCCGCTCTTCTGGCATACATTCCAGAAAGTGCCGTTTTGTGCCTCTTTTAAAGGAAAGGAGTATAAAAATAAAGACAGGGTTAGATGATGTCTCATAAAGAAGGGTTCTCTACTTCAACTTACTGCTTTGGCTTCCTTGATTGGTCCTCAATGTCTAGAATGAACAGTTCAAGTAAACTACATGTCCTCAAGCGCACTTTACATTTGCCACATAGGCAGTTGCCTGCTCAAAAGCACTTTAAACCAGTTATCTTCACTGAGCAACTTTTACAACCATACATAGGAATTAGGAATGCAATAGCATGGCAATGCTAACTTTAGTATTAAATTATATTGCATTTCAGAATATAGTCTAGTTCTTTCATAGCTACCCTTCCAAGTATTAGTCTTCTTTTTATTTCTTGATTGCAATCTGATTAATGACTGAATCATGGTATGGCAAATTTTGAACTATTTTAATGTCTTCATTTTATGTTAATCATCTGTAGGGTTTTTTTTTTGTTATATTTCCAGTCTGGGCTATTATTTCTTTTTCTGTATATGTTTACAGATTATGTTAAAACAAGGCCAGATTCTGTAGCTTGATGCAGTACAATGGTTATGCCCAGGGCCGTAGCCAGAAAAAATTCGGGAGGGGTTGACATTTTCCGGGGGGGGGGGGGGTTGAAAATTTCATGGGGAGGGGGGTTGAAACCTGCCTCCTAGCTCACGCTGAAGCAAAGAGCACAGCAGGGGTAGAACAGTCTTCAATAGCCTGCAGCTCCGCCCCTATCAACCACCTCCACCAGGTCTGGCCTCCTTAATGAGAGCATTCCCCCCCCCCCCCCCAACTTGGTTGCTTCGCTACATCAGCTATTGCTGCAAGTAATGACAGTGTGAATAAATTGTCATTATTTGCTTGAGATAGCGCTTGCAGTTCTGGAGGGACTCTTAATTTTTTGCATCTCATAGACTTAGCATGGGGATTTGGTTAACCAGTTAAAATTCATGAGTAAACCGGGTTTTTTAGAAAATTCTGAAACATTTCTGGCCTGGTTATGCCCTCTGCTCCTGGTGATTCATTTATCCCTAATGCTATTATATGTTCATAGTCTGTGCCATAATCTTCTCCTGGTCTTGTTTTTTTTCCAGAAAAAATTGAGCTTCTCTATTTCTTCTTCTGATTATTTTGTCAGTTTGATTTCTGTATATACCATCAAGTGAAATCCATGTATAGAGTTACCTCTTTGGTTGTTCAACTGATGTGTTTATGATTCACAAACTGTTAGACTTGCAAAGTCAGTCAGTTGGTTTCCTATTTCCTTTCTGGATCCTGGGCCAAATTTCTTTGTAATCTTTAATTTTGCTTTGTTTCCTGCTTGCATTCTAGTTACCTATGATTAATTACTTTGCTTTATGATCAATGTCCTCCTGGACTCCGGCACAGAATCTTTCCATTTCTTCTTCTGCTTCTGTTTCTGTTTCCACTTACATTTCTGCAGTTGGAGCATAAACTTGATTTATACTAATATTGATGGGTTTTCCCTGATTTCTTATTGATAGGATTTGGTTAGACTGCAGTATAACCTTTCACTGCTTCTGCTACATTTTCCTTACTATTAATGTCACCCAATATCTTCTTAGATCCTGTCCATTTTAACTCACTTATCCCAAGTATTTCAACCTTCATCAGTTCCATTCCTTGTTTTATTATGACTAAAATTCCCTAATTCATGTTTCTCATATTCCATGTCCATATAATATGTGTTGTGTAGTTTCAGACTATCCTTTCACCTATGAGCATTTCAACAATATATTGTTGCTTTGTGTCCATTTGCATCATGAGCCACAGTGCTTCAGTAGTTGCACTCTGCTGTACTCAGCAGGCTTGTTGTGTTCCATCTGATCTGGTAATTTTATCTTCTGGCACTATTTCTTATTTCATTTTGGATTGTCTCATCATGGAGTGTTCATGTTAAAACATCTTCAAAAGGAGATTTACCATTCCACCTTGTGCATTGTACTAACAAGTCTTAGATATTGTTCCACGACTGTTGTCTTTGAGAAATTTTCTGCCAGTGTCACTCTCCACTACTGCTGCTGTTTGGCACATATAGTTTGCTCCCATGTCAGCAAAAGCTTGTCTAAAATGGAAAACCTTACCAATAGCACTGTTGCCATCAGTATAGCCTCTTACTTCGTGGGAGCATAAAATCCCATCACTGTGGAAAGATAATGCCATGGTGAGTAATATTATTTTCCACATTCGTAAGTTTTTTTGGTGTCAGGATTGGCTTGAGAAACTTCAAGTTGCTTCTGGTGTGAGAGATTTGGCTGTCTGCAAGGGAATGCCAGGATGCTTTAATGTTTTACCATCCTTGTGGGAGGTTTCTGTCATGTCCCCACATGGGGAGCTGGAGCTGACAGAGGGAGCTCAACCCGTTCTCCCTGGATTCAAATTGCTGATCTGTTGGTCAGTAGTCCTGCCAGCACAAGGGTTTAACCCATCGTGCCACCAGGGACTATGATGTCAACATTTCTGTTTTGATGAAGGGCATCAAAATACTGTATTTTGAGACATCTTTTTCAGTTTATGCAACAGGAAAAGCTTTCCAAACCTCAAATACGGGGAATTCCTTATAATAATGACCAGCTGCTAGTCTCAAAGGGACGAGCTGTCCAGCCTTCAAATGAGGGATATCTGTTATAATAAGGAACAACTGACAAGCCTGTATAAGAAAGAATAATTTGCATTCTGATATATAGGGTTACCCAAGACCAATTAATGGTTAAGTGGCCAGAGTTTTAATTTTGTAACCTCTGCACTCATGGCATGCCCTCTTCACATTCAGCGATCTGCATAAACTGTAGGGTTCTGACTATGTAAATCTGCTGAAGTTGTTTAGTTATTTAAGGACATGTAGTTTCACATTTCCAGCCACAATTTCGATGACTGATTTCTCTTCCCTTACAGATCTATCTCCCATTGTCCCCTTGGCTGCCCCTATTCAGATATTGCGTGTGGGTTTGTGCCTTCAAGCTACTGTCAGCTTATGATGACTGCATTGATTTCATAGAGTTTTCTTAAGCAAAGAACAATCAGAGGTAGTTTTGCCATTTCTTTCCCCTGAAATATTAGGTTGTGTAGATATTATTCGTTCTTATTGTGGTTGCTCTTGACTTGAAAATGGTTTCAAACTACAATAAAATGGCTGATAAAGTGATGAAGAGGCAAAGGTTCTAAGGAGAATGGTGAGCAAGAATGGAAGCCCTTTTTCATAACACAGTGATGACACCAGTGCATCAAATTCCACACACTGAGAGTGGAATTTAATCAAAGTAATATATGACTAAAATTAAAACAAGCAAATGAATGAAAAAAGTCTCCTTGCTAAGGAACATTATGAAAATTTTTGTGTACTTTATATTTTGAGATTTGTGTATACCTCAACAGTAAATGTAGGTGGGACTCTCAAAGACACGTAAGCTTATTCTAGCCCTAGGGGAAGGTATGATTTTTTTTATTTCTCTCAACTTTATAACAGAAATGATGAAAATGCAATACTGAAATAAATATTTTTGAATGAATGCAAGACAGTGACTTCCTACTTCCTTGATCCTCTCTTCCAGTAAAATTACAGAGCACAAAGTTCCCACTCACTCATTAAACTATTGCTCTCACCCATTTATTCTTTATATATTGGTGTGCCACGTGAAAAAGAAGTTTTGTATTATTGTCAGTTTTGTGGATAATTTAGGATGATGAAATTGTGCCTGGAGAGGAGGAAGGAGAGAATTGAACAAATCAGGCCTTCTCAGTGAAGATAATAATAGGTTAATGCAAAAATAGAAGGGCTTCTTGTTCAATTAAGACTCTTTCCCAGTCCCCAAGGACTTCTTTATGATAGCTGAATTACCAGATGTCCTGATTTCTTGGCTGTCATCCCATCCTGCTCAATATCAAGCCACACAATTTAAAATGGCTTGTTGTCTCTTGTTTTGCCAGATCAGCAATTAGCACAGACTAGGCTCCGATAGTGGATTAGTTGCAGGTAGCTCTTTAAATGCAAAAAAGTTGTAGTATTTGCCTTCAATGATATAGAAAACTAAAGCAGATTAAAGCTTTAGTTTTCTATATCATTGAAGGCAAATACTACAGTTTTTAAAATCTTCTTCTTCTTCTCCTCCCTCTCTGGTTCAATCTCTCTTTTGTTCTCTTTATTTTTTTCTGATTTTATATATAATGTATTTTATATATATCCTTTCCATGTTGCATCTTAACAAAGGATAGCAATACATGTGCTCCATAATCAGTTAACATCCTCCAAAGGAGTCTTCAATATTAGAAACAACTACTTGACAACAAGAGCAATTTGGCAATGGGACCAGAGAGACATATATATATATTCATACTTGTTAAGAGATGGTTATCAAGAGTCTATCAGTCTCTATGGGAATGCTTGCATCCAGCATGAGAATCAGGCAAGGAGAAATCATTTTCCCCATAAACATTTCAGTTATTTGTTTAAAAAAATCTCTGCATTCAACTATGGTCTTTCCTTTTTGCAAAGCAAAAGACACAGAGACAATGGAAATTCACAGCCCAGCCTTACGCAAGTTTCACAGTCTCAGTGCACTTCCTGACAGCTTCATAATCTGGGACAAATAAGTGGGGCAAAAAATCATGGTACCTGACAACAAATCCAAAGACAGAGTTGTTACTCCAGGTGAATGCTCCTCCCACCATCCTGACATGTTCATTTATAACAGATTTAAGAAATCCACAAGATGGCTGGGGGACATCTGCTGGAAGTTTACTTTTAATTTTTTTAATTGACCCTCTGAGATGTGCTGGACCTCTTAAGTTCTGGTGTGAATACATGAATATTCACACAAGCAGATTTCTTGTCATTTTCTCTTCTGACCCACCTGCTGCCTTTACCTTTTCCCCTCATGAACCCTGTTTCTCTTTGGGGCCATTTGCCTGCCATACTGGTGCCCACTATATAAATTCAAGCTCTGTTTAATTTAATGAACATCAGAAAAAAGGAATGAATATAGGAATTTCTCATGAGAATTGCTTTCCAATTGTGCTTCCATTTAGCCACCTGTGTGCCCATGGCTCCATTTGTTTATAGCCTTCATCAGCTGTTTTGAGATTGTAAAATGCAGACATGCGCTGGCGCAGTCCACACCAGTGTATAGGAACAAAGTAATGTGTTTTCTTTGAGTGCAGGGATATATAGTCATGCAAATATATGTGCATTTTCCAACAAAAATCGGGGTTTAAGAGCACCTTTTTAACATGTGTTTTTGGCCGTTAATGCAATCAAATGCACATTTTTGGCAAGCATCATTTAGCCACCCCACCTTTTATCCTGGTTTCTTCTGCATTTTAGGGTCTGTGTAGAAGGGCCCTCAACTTCAGGAAGACAATGGCAACCCCCCTCCCCCTTGAATAAATCTTGTCAAGAAATCCCCATATTTCCAACCTGTGGAAACCCTAAGGTGATAAAGTTTCCAACCCAATGGCCTTAGGTCATGGGTTGGAAACAACATGAAGGTATGTGATTACAAATCTCACATTAAAAAGAGTCCTCAAAACAGTGCAATGGGGAAATTGCTGATTGAAATATTTATTTTTTTTACCATGAAAATAAAATTAACAAATGTGAGACTGGTAAACTAAAAACCTAGTGGAGTTTGCCTATTATCTCTGATAGTGTGCCTTCTTTTCTTATAACAACTGTTCTGCCTATAGACATCAAGGGGTGTTGGTGCCAATTCAGATCTCCCTTTTGCATACACACACACACACACACACACACACACACACATACTATGAGCATTTCTTCCTGAATGAAGGGTAAATAGCTAAGACTAAGGATGAACAGTAACTGTGCCCAATACTCCTTCTGCACTCTGTGGAAACAGATTTATAAATCTGGGGATATTTTATCAACAGGTTTCCTCTATTTTTGTTTCAACTGCTCTCACAAATCAAACTGTTCCTGCTTTAAAACATAGCATGGGATGCCTAAGACTTCACTCTATTAAGGTATTCCAATTCTATATAGGAGCCCCCGGTGACACAGTGGGTTAAAGCACTGTGCCGGCAGGACTGAAGACTGACAGGTCGCAGGTTCGAATCCGGGGAGAGTCGGATGAGCTCCCTCTATTAGCTCCAGCTCCTCATGCGGGGACATGAGAGAAGCCTCCCACAAGAATGATAAAACATCAAAAATCATCCAGGCGTCCCCTGGGCAACGTCCTTGCAGACGGCCAATTCTCTCACAACAGGAGCGGTTGCTCCTGACACGACAAAAAAAAATCTATATAACATCTCTTCTTAATTCCTGACCCTGATGTTTTAAACATACACTCTCATAAACTCTATTTTACTCCATTAGAATTATCATATTCTTGAAAAGTGATACTTTATGCAAGCAAAAGAAATATATATAGATGCAGTATTTCTAGGTTGCCATATATTTCAATGAAAAGTATATTGGAAAGAAGAGGAGATTGGTGTTTTGGAGGTGGCTTGAACTTACAGCAAAATGAGAAATCTTTCTGATTCCACAAGTCAAACATCAGAAATAAAGAAAACGCCCTATTCACAGGAGCTGTTGCAAATCCTGAGTTATTTAAACCTCCAGAGTTCCTTGCCTAAGAAGACCATATGAAATCATGGGGTTTCCATAGATGAATAGATGATTTGAAGACACATATAAACACATATATTTGGACTGTGTATGTCTGACTTTATTCCTTCTACACTACCCCATCTGGCTGTCCCTCCCCTGTAGCCTCGGGTAACCAAGTACAAAAGTACCATTTTTAAAATGTAAAATTTCCTATAAGGATCTTTTTGACTCCCTTCGTGATTCCTGAAGCATTTCTGAAAGTTATTCCCTTTCCAAGACTTACTTATCATAGGCCCTCAATCTCTTGATAATATTGACCAAATATTTTGTCTTAGTAATTTGGCTTACTCTTTGATCATAATTCTATTAAATAGAAACAGGGTCTGTAACAACATGTTACAGTACAGAGTTCCCCAGTTCAATGTGCCCGCTATCCATGCCTTCTTCCAGGATTCTCCATTTCATCTTCCCCACCTCCACAGTTTTTGATATTTTATACATACCTCTGGTTTCAATCTAAAAAACATGAAACACAAAAAAGAGAGAAAGATGAGAAACATGGTGTTACAAAGGCTATGTACATCTTAATTCTCTCTATTTCTGAAAAACAGCAAAATGCTTGTGTAGTCAAAATTCATGATCAAAGAAGAAATTAGCAGACTTGAGAACATTCAAAATTTAATGAATTCTAAACAATATTTAGAATGAAATCTAAAGATTGTTTGATTGAATGTGTTTGACTGAATTTGTTTAAAACAATACAAATGGGATAAAAAACACACCAAGGCTAGGACACAAAGATTTTAAGAAATCTATCTATCTATCTATCTATCTATCTATCTATCTATCTATCATCTATCTATCTATATCTTGGTACCTAAAAGAAACTTAGCCAGGTACTTGAGATATATCTCATAGGGTCATAAAGCATTTGTGAGCAAATGCACCTATTTGCTCGACAGATGTATACGGTCTACCCTTCATATTTATAGGATCAGTAGATTGGATCATTTGTGAATTTGATTAATATGTTTTCTCTAGGAATCCCTGGGTCTTTCAGTGCAACTCTGTGGTAAGCTTTTGACCTTGAAAGGCATTTTTAAAGCTTTCTGGGCAATTCTGTGTTATGCTTCTGCTGAAAGTTGGGCATAGAGTCATGTCTGATGACCTAGAGATTCACAGAAAGATGTCCCTCAGGTTAAAAAAGACCCCAGTGGATTTATTTATAGTTTTCCATTTTTACAGGAGTCCTGTGCCCCTAACTTGAGCAAACATAGAGAGCTGATTGTATAATCAAAGTTTAAACAAAATAATCCCTGCTGTGCAAGAATGAGCTTTACCCCATTCTAAAAAGTTTGAGAACAGAAAAGCTAAGCAGCAGTACTAAAATCCCACCTGTTATTTCCCATCACAGTTACAGGGTGGACACAATGTCTTCATCAATGACAGCTGTCTAAT